TATAAAATATGGCTAAAACCTATGCAATCCTCACAATATTTAGTCAATAAGCAGATATTTCTTCCTAACTGAGCAGGATATTTTGCTAATTGTTTCTGGGAGATACAAAAGGATTAATATATTCATCTTATTCTGTGGGATCTTACAGGTTACCAGAAAGATAGGCATGTAAATAAAAAGCTTAAATAGAAAGCATGATTTAGAAAAAACACATAAATATTAATGTGTATATATGGTATGAAAGCTTAAATGTACAGGTGTGCTGACTCTTGAGATCTATTGAATTAGGGAGCAAATACTTTATGTGAGGGGGATTTATCCCATGGAAACATATTCATGCATGACTCCATGAGAGACCATGGGTGGTTGGCAAAGGAGAGGGATGCTTTTGAGTAAACCAAGGTATAAACTATTGCAAGGGAGATTTTGCTGCTCTAAGTTATGTCTCTTTGGCAAAAGGATCATTTTGAACTAAAGGCAATCAAAACCTAGAGATTCAGAAAAACCCTTTTACTTCCCCCTCAACTGCCTACCTTTACATTGGAAATAGGCCTATGCCAGGAAGAGAGCTATTTCCAAAGACACCATATAACCAAAGAAATTTATTTACATCACAGGGCAACCTTTGTTTCCCAAATACCTTCTCCGGCCTTCCTGTAAAAAGCCTTCCTCCCTTTCAGTCTCCAGATCCCTGCTCCTCTCTTTAGCTCAAGAGGTTACATTAGCTTCAATTACCAGGCAGCCTTGTGGTCTCATATTTTTGTGTGGCTTCTTAACATACATAATTATGTTTGTTTTTCTTTTGTAATTTGTCTCATGTCAATTTGATTATTAGCCCAGCCAAAAAAAAACCTAGAGGGACTGAAGGAAAATTCTTACACCCATTCACTACTCACCTTTCCTCATTTGTGGCATTCTTATACTTCCTATCTTAAGGAAGGGCATGAAAATAAAAATACATTAAATGAATGCCTGTGTCAATCAAATATTTTGCTAGAACAGAAAGTACAAGTCTGATGTACTTAATTTATTATTTTTTAAATTAAACTTATAAGGGTGATATTGATTAATATATATTGGTGATATAAGTTTCAAGTGTACATAAAAAATGATTTCTCTTAGTAGATGAATAATACTTAATACAAAAAAAAAACAAACACAAGAAAAAGTATAAATAAAAAACATTGACTTTGGGTGGTAGACACACAATATAGTATATATGTGATATATCATAGAACTATACATATACGGTATATCTCCATTTCCTGTTTCTTCTGTTCCTCTGTATAACCCTGACTCTTTCTATTCCACAATTTATTTGCAAATCCTATCCAATGGAAGCTAGAATTTTTTGTTGTTGTTAATCCTAACCCGAGGATATTTTCCATTAACTTTTTTTTTAATTTATTTTTTCCTTATTTTCTATTAAATTATTATCTGTGTACATATCTTACCACCCCACCCCCCCTTATATACATACCCTCCCTCCCCAGAGTTTTGTGTCCATTGGTTGTACTTATATGCATGTATACAAGTCCTTTGGTTGATCTCTTATCTCCCCCAGATCTCCTTCCCCTTCCCGCTGTAATTTGACAGTCTGCTTGTTGCTTTACTGTCTCTATATCTATCTTTTGGTTCATCAGTTTATAATGTTCTTTATTATCCATAAATGAGTGAGGTCATGTGGTGTTTCTCTTTCATTGACTGGCTTATTTCACTCAGCATGATGTTCTCCAATTCCATCCAGGTTGCTACAAATGATGAGAATTCCTTCTTTTTTTTATGGCAGCATAGTATTCCATTGTGTAGATGTACCATAGTTTTTTGATCCAATCATCTGCTGATGGGCACCTAGGCTGTTTCCAAATCCTAGCTATTGTAGATTGTGCTGCTATGAACATAGAGGTACATATATCTTTTCTGATTGGTGTTCCTAGTTTCTTGGGATATAATCCTAGGAGTGGGATTGCTGGGTCAAATGGGAGTTCCATTTTCAGTTTTTTGAGGAAACTCCATACTGTTCTCCATAGTGGTTGCACCAGTCTGCATTCCCACCAGCCATGCATGAGGGTTCCTTTTTCTCTGCATCCTCACCAGCACTTGTCATTTGTTGATTTGTTGATGTTGGTTTCCATTGACTTTTAGAGAGAGTGGAGGGAGAAGAGAGGAGAGAAGAGGGGAGGAAAGAAGAGGAGAGGAGAGGGGAGGAGAAGAGAGGAGAGGAGAGAGAGGAGAGAGAGAGGAGAAGAGAGAGAGAGGAGAGAGGAGAGGAGAGGAGAAGAGAGGAGAAGAGAGAGAGAGAGAGAGAGAGAGAGAGAGAGAGAGAGAGAGAGAGAGAGAGAGAGAGAGAGATGTGAAAGAGACACCTCAATAGGTTGCCTCCACCATACACCCTGGCCAGGGCCAGGGATCAAACCTACAACTGAAGCACATTCCCTTGACCAGAATCAAACCTGGGACCCTTCAGTCCTCAGGTCAGTGCTCTATCCACTGAGCCAAACTAGCTAGGCAGAAGCTACAAAATTTTACCACCTAAAGAAATGTACAGCTATATGAAGAGAGAGGCAGTGCACAAGTGATTCAAGATACAAAGTTCCACACTTCTCCCTTGTCTCGGTGTTCCTTTGGGTAATTGTTATGCAAAATCATTGTCACATGCACATTAAATGACAAAATTTCTGGCAGAGTTTACTAAGGAAAATAAAAATTCTAATAAAACTAATGGAGAGATCTGGAAGGCTATTAAAAAACAAAAATTTCAAAAGGAAAGAGAGTGGTGGTAGGGGGAACTGTTTATACATTAAAAACAGTTTTGTTTTGTTTTATGTATAAACAGTGAGAATGATGGAATGTGGTCAGAACTATAGCAATGGAGTTGAAACACGTAGAGTTAGAACAAGTATGTCAAACTCAAAGGCTAACACGGGCTAAAGAAACAAGGCTTGTGGCCCATGGGCCGCAAGTTTGACATGGTTGGTCTGAAGGACCGGAGGAATGAGCCTTAAGAATCTAACAAAATTGTTAAAATGAGTGAGAAAGAACGAAAGGAAGCTCATCTGAGAAGATAAACAGTTGAGAGGGCCCAGAGATCAGAGACTGAGGGCCTCCAGCAGGGAGTACGTAAGATATTACAGGCTCCTGACAAAGTCTGTGCCTTGGGAAGTGAGACAAAGATGAGAAGAGCTGAGAGTCATGGGAAGTCGGCTTCCTGTTTGCTCCATTTCCCTGGGTTGCCAGCCTTCTGTTTCAGCTCCAAGGGTAGTTTCATATTTACACTCAATGTGCCATCTGTTATTTTCCTGTTGACTCGTTATGAAATCCCTCTATGTGCTGGAGCAACGGAAATTTCTGTTTTTCTCTCTGGAAACAGAAATTGTGGATGACCAGGAAGTCATTGCTGCAGCCAGTTCTCCCCATCCAGCCTGTCTGATGTCCAAGGTCTCCCTGGGTGACTGTGCCGCCCACGGCTCCAGCTGCTGGTCATTGGCAACTGCTGCCAGGGCTGGTCAAGGGAGGCTGCTGCCAGTAGTTCAAAGCAGGTGCAGCAGGGAAACTGGAGGAATGTGACCAACACCCTGCTCTGAGGGTAAGTGGGGACGCCATCCCAAGCATCCCAGCTACAGCTAAAGTGTTGGAATAGCCATTATGTGTATTGAAGGCATCCTTCCCTGTCCCCATATTATTTAATTGCCAGGAAAAAGACTGAGAAATTAAGTCAGAGCTCTACTTTCTAAGTAGAGAAGCATATTAGTAGTCTCTGGACCAACTTTCCCAAGTCAATTGAAAGGCAAATGTTTACATTCTAATGATAAACTCAAATAGGAGGAAGCAGCAAGGGAGGAAAGGGATGAAAACATTAATGGTGATAAACCATCAAATTAGAGAATGAGTCAAGTTTCTTTATGCATTATTTTATTTTATTTATTTATTTATTTATTTTTGTATTCTTTATTGTTGGTTTGTGTTTTTTTTAAAATATCAATTGATGTTATTTTATTGATTTTTTACAGAGAGGAAGGGAGAGGGAGAGAGAGCTAGAAACGTCAATGAGAGAGAAACATCATGCACACCCGCACCGGGGATGTGCCCGCAACCAACGTACATGCCCTAGACTGGAATCGAACCTGGGACCTTTCAGTCCACAGACCAACGCTCTACCACTGAGCCAAACTGGTTTCGGCTGTATTCTTTATTGTTGAAAGTAATACATATGTCCCCTTCCCCCCCCCCCCAATTAACCTCTTCTAACCCGTCTTCACCCCCTCAACCCCTACTCTAGGCCTTCACCACCCTATTGTCCATGTTCATGAGTTATGCATATATGCATACAAGTTCTTTGGTTGATCCCACCCACCCACCTTCCCCCACCTTTGATGCCACAGTATCTTTTTATTTGGTTAATTAACTTATATACCTTTGAAGTGTACATTTCTGTGATACATAATCTGTAAATTGCATTGTTTGCCCACCACCCAAAGTCAAATCTTCCACCACCGTGTATCAGATCCCCTTTACCCTTTATTACCCCCTTCCCTCTGGTAACCACCATACTGTTGTCTGTGTCTGTGAGTTTTTATTTGTTTATTTGCTGCTTTCAGTTTTATATCCACATACGAGTGAAATTTGTGTGTGTGTGTGTTTTACTTTTTGTCTGACTTATTTTGCTTAGCATGATATTCTCAAGGCCCATCCATATTGTCACAAATGGCAGTATTTCATCTTTACTTAATGGCTGAGTACTATTGCATTGTGTATATGTACCACATTTTTATCCAGTCCTTTATCAAAGGACACTTGGTTGTTTCCGTGTCTTGGCCACCATGAACAATGCTGTAATGAACATAGGGATGCATAGATCTTTGTGATTGAATGTTTTCAAGTTTTTTGGGTAGATGCCCAGGAGAGGGATTGCTGGGTTTTACGGTAACTCTGTCCTTAATATTTTGAGGAGCCTCCCTACTGTTTTCCATGGTGGCTGTACCTGTTTACATTCCCAACAGCAGTGAATGAGGTTCCCTTTTCTCCACAACCTCCCCAACACTTGTTATTGAAGAGAGCCATTCTAACAGGTGTGAGGTGGTATCTCATTGTAGTTTTGATTTGCATTTCTCTAACAGCTAGTGAAGTTGAGCATTTTTTTCTTATAACTGTTGGCCATTTGTATGTCTTCCTGGGGAAAGTGTTTGTTCAGGTGCTCTGCCCATTTTTTTAATTGGATTGTTTGTTTGATGTTGAGTTGTAGTATGCGTTCTTTACATATTTTGGATATTAACCCCTTCTTGGAGCTGTTGTTTGCAAATGGTTTCTCTCATTTCTTTTTTTTGTTTGGCTGGAGGTTTCAATTGCTGTGTTTATGCATCTTTTTAAGTTGAGAGTTTTATTTTTTGTAGCGCTGGTAAAAGGATGTGCAAATAATAATAAACTAAGGGTTTCTAATACCCATGGCATTTGTTTTCATTTGAAGACCCTGTAGCAGATGCATGGTCTTATAACCATGCATGGTCTTATAACCATGGCCTTCTCTTGGTTCCACACATTGTGAGTGCTCCTTGTCAAAGGTTTCCATCATGTTTACTGTCAGAGTGGCAACACAGTTCTCCCTGAAGAGGACAGTGGAGGCAGGATCCTCCAAACCTGCAGGCAAACACACTGGGTCCTCATCCTGAGCAAAGGCTGTTTAAGAGTTGACTCAATTTGTCAGTGCATGCCAACCCGCTTTCCCAGAAGACAACTGGGAAGGGTTGATGCAGACATCAATCAGACATCAATAAGAACAATACGCTACTTAAATTAAGGTGGAGCATATAAATGAATGCACATACATTTATACTGGTATATCTACAATATGTATTGTATAATATATATATATATATATATATATATATATATATATATATATATATTGATATATATATATATATATATATATATATATATATATTATTGATTTTTACAGAGGGGAAGGGAGATGGATAGAGAGTTAGAAACGTCGATGAGAGAGAAACATTGATCAGCTGCCATCTGCACACCTCCTACTGGGGATGTGCCCACAATCAAGGTACATGCCCTTGACTGGAATCAAACCTGGGACCCTTCAGTCCACAGGCTGATACTCTATCCACTGAGCCAAACTGGTTAGGGTTATGATATGGTTTTATATCTTAGTATAATATATATGCAAAAAAATCTCAAAAAGATACTTTTTAAAAAATCCTCATCCGAGGATATTTTTCCATTTTAGAGAGAGTGGAAGAGAGAGGGAAAGACAGAGAGAAATATCGATGTGAGAGAAACACATCGATTGGTTGCCTCCTGCACATGCCCTACCAGGGCCTTGGCCTGGGAGGAGGCTGCAACCAAGGTACATGCCCTTGTCTGAAATGGAACCTGGGCCCTTTGGTCTACAGGCCAGTGCTTTATCTACTGAGCCAAACCGACTAGGGCAAAAGGATACTTTCTTTAACACACAGCAAGCACAATTCTGAGAGAACCACAGCTCAGGGAGAAACATTTAATCTTTGAAAGGTGACACAAACTCTGAGGCATAGTACAAAAGGATGACATTGTCACAAAGTCCTCACAGATTACTCTATTCAACCATAAACTGTCTTAGTTCACTGGATATTCTGGTTTTGATTTGATGTAATTTTCTCTTAAATGGTAGAAAGAAAATGATAGTCTCTGGAGACATCCATATTCCTTAAGCAACATGGATGTCATTTGATTAGTTTAGTCTATTGTATGGATTCTGGCTCCCACCTACTCACTGCATTAATATGTATTTTCTCATTCAAGCATTTTATAGTACTTTTGAAAGCCCTAGAGAAGCAGTACATCTCCTTGAACAGAAAATTAGTTCTCATTACTTTTCCTGCTGTTTAATTTCTTTGGTTTCATGTTAACAGAGAGCAATGAAAAATAACCAGCAAGCTAAGCAAAAAATAATATGTATTAATATGTATATATTATTATTACATATAAGGGATCCCTCAAATGTATACACACACTTTGAATAATTATAAAGGCAGACTTATTAAAATACATTTCACTTTCAAAATTAAGTTATCTGCTGTTAAAGTGTGTATGTATTTTTATGGACACCCTATATTTATATAATAATACTAGGGGCCCAGTGCACGAATTCGTGCACCTTGAAAGGAACCGTGACTGTGAGGCTGCAGTGGGCATAGGGGTGGGTCTCAGCCCATCCTCCACACCCCTGCCTGGTCCCTCCCACCATGGCCCCCAGTTCTCTGTCTGCTGGCAGCCCCACTCTTGCTACTGCTATTCCCATGCACTCATGGCACTGGCCCTGCTTGCACCCACTGATGGCCCTCAGGAGTAAGGGGAAGTGGAGAAGCTCTCAGGGGAGATCGGGGCCAGTAGTCGCCGCTTGTACCTACTGATGGTGCTGAGCGATCAGGACCAGCCCCAGGTACTAGCAGCAGATGCAAGTGGCGGCTCCAGTGCTAGCAGAGGGTGCTAGTGGGGCTGGCACCATCAGCAGGTGTGAGTGCCAGGCATGACTGTAGTGCATGGGAGCAAAGAATTTTCAATAACCACCAGAGGCTTACCCTGGTGACAGTGGCCAGTGCCCCGCCTTGGTCTGGTGCCCCCGTTCACCTGCTCCACCATCCCGCCATGGCAGATGCCTGCCATGTTCCACACTCTGACACCCACCACATTCCCCTGGTGCTCAGCACATGTCATAGCGACCGGTTGTTCGGTTGTCCTACAGTTCAGTCTATTTGCATATTAGGGCTTTATATATATAGATATGTTATATAGTATATACTATTTATATATAACATGTTATTTATATGGTATAATATTTATATAAAATATATTTTGAAATAAGATAATAGTTTTTTTTCTAAGAGAATACTTATTGGTAAATTACAGGGGTAGAAAATGTAATTCCTAGAAGAAATGGGCTTAGGAAATAAGTTATCGAGGTAAAGGAAAGGCCAGTGGAGCTTGAGAGTGAGGACGCTAATGGTAAGGTGCTTGAGGATAGGGAGGGGGAAGGCAAAGGCATGGGCATGCTCCCTGGATGGAGAGAGCCTATAATAATGTTTTTATATAATATAACACATGTAATTATATGTATGTGCATTTTTGACAGACAGATGGCATTGTGAAAGCAAATACTTGCTAGGTTGCCTTCTGGTGCTATTCCAGAGTAAAAAAAAATAAAGGAAGCATTTCTACACTTTCCAGCAGCCTCAGCAGGCGTGAGAAATAATTCTTCCTTTCTGTCTGTTCAACTTGTACCCAGTTAGTCTATTACATTATATAAAGGCAGTGGGGAAAGAAAAGCATACTTCAATGTGATATCTGTCACATCCCAGACTGGAAAAGGGTACTACACTGTTTGCTTAAGGGTATAATTTTGCCCTTTGTCTTAATTAGCAGTTGGAAGATTACAAGGCATGAAAATTAGGTGACAGAAAAATAAATGCATGCTCACCTGAGCCAGCAGTGTCCTAAATTAAGTTATTTTCTCTCCCTCGGAAACAGACAGTCATGCTAGAAAAAGAATGAACTGATTTAAAAGTGAGAGAGAGAATGTACAAACCAGAAACTTAGTGCTTTATAGAAGTATGAAGATCTTTCTATAATCACCTAAGCATCCTTCATTCTCTACATCTTTTTATTAACAGTCTCAGGGTAACTATGAGGTTACTCGGAATTCACTTTAAAAAGAGCAAGCACTCCCTCTGACCTTTGAAAAGTCATAAGGCTATGCAGAAATGGGCACGGCATTGTTATTTTGGTTTTAATTATCATCACTGGTGCTGATATTTATGTCTAGAATCAGATTAGAGGCTGATGACATACAAAAGCGGAGCCAGGATACCAGGCCATTAGGTGAAAAAGCAAAAAGTCACATTAAAAAAATCAAATGGCATATCTCTTCTGTGACAGGACTGTCTTTGGCATTTATCCCTCACTAGGGTTACCAGATTTATCAAAAAAACCCAAAGCTGATAGAAACAAAGCATTAACCTGAACAGGACATCCTATTAAGTTTTAATTTCAGATTAGCAATGACTCATTTTATTATTATAATTATTTTCTTATTTCAATATTACCCAAATATTACAGGGATATACTTATATTAAGGATTTTTTATTTCATTAGCATTGATGTTTATCTAGTGTAACTTCCTTGAAGGGAAACATTTATTTAGCAACAGCAATGTAAGCTTTTGTACCTTGTTTTTAAGAGCACCTTATAATTATTCTTGGGTTGTCTATTTATTTTAAAAAGCTGCCTGTAGAGAGTTTTAAACAACTACAATTAATGCTTAATATTCTGAACTTTGGTTTAAATGTCAAAAAAATTAGAAAAGCATAGATCCACATTTAGGTCTTTGTTTTGCCTTTATAAAGAAAAAGTTGAATTAAATGATGCAGAATAAATTGCAACTGTTCATCCCATATAGAAAAAGTGTAGGGAGGGAGAATGGATGGCAGCTTATCTATGTTCTATTCATAAAGAAAAAAAGGACAAAAAACTAATTCATAACTGTAGACAATTCTGAGAAATACATTATAAAAATGTTCTTAGCTTGTCTTTATTGTACATTTTGAGACTTGAATGCATTATTATAAATGATTTCTCCAAACAAATAAAGATTTCTTATCTTAAAAAATATGTTGGTCACCAGCATGCCAGGTTAGACAAATGAAATATAATTTCTTAATAATCAAGAAAAATATTGGAAGAAGTAATGCAAACCCAAAAGACTGTTGATTAGTAAGGTTGACTGAGTGTCCTATTTTGAGATGCAAATCAACCTACAAAATATCATTTACAATACTTTAAGTGCTCAAAAGTTCACCTAACTTTTCTTCCTCCAGTGTTACAAAAACTAATTTCATTTTGATTGGTCTTCAATTATTTGTAATCTGTGGGCTTTCTCCAAAGAGTATTGCATATATTTGTAATCTTCTATAGATTTATATACAAGGAAATAAAGCAAAGAGTTTCACTTAAATAGATTTA